AAATATGTGTGTTAAAGTAGTACGGGAAATATACATCAGTAGGAATGTACTTAATACTACTGAACTGTACTTTCAGGGTGGTTGAGATGGGAAGTTTTATGTTATATGTAATTTACTAAAATTATGAAAAATGAGAAAGTATAAACAAAAACAAAAAATATATACTGAGAGTAACCACAAACAAAAATTTGTATCTAATTTATAATAAATTGCAATTACTTAAGGTAAAAATGATTCAGAAGGAGCAAGGAGTAATTGTATTGTTAGCCGCTATTGGCAGCTATAGATGTTATTAAACACGAGGGAGAAAATTTAGGCTTGCTCTTTATCACTTTATTTTTATTGTATGTAAAAGTCCTGTGTGAATGTCACTGTGGACTCTTCAGTTCTCTGAGGACACTGTCCCCACTGCTGCGTGTTTCAGGATCTTGCCAAAAGATGACCCAAAAGATTCATAAGTGACTTAAAAACCTAATTCACCTAGGACTCATGTTTACTCACTTGATTTCATGTTAGCCACATAAAACAAACATCAATCTTATTACTGTCAGAAGTTCTCATTTTGTCTAGGAAGTTTCAAATATCATGTATCCGAACTGGAGAGAGTTCCTGATTTTCCTCCAGACGTCAGAGTAGTAATTACCTTTCAAAGTAACACAGATGCCTTGATAGGAAAGTCTTGGCCACAAGTTAGAAATGGAAGGATTAGACAAATTGGAGCCATCCCAGAGCTGCCTGTGAGGTGAGTATGGGTCCATGGGTAGGAGTGACCAGGAGTCCACACATAAGCCTATGCAAACATAACCATCTTCCTTCTAATCCTTTGGATGCTCAGGGATAAATAGCTAGCAGAAACCATTATGTTTGTGGCCTTTGACAGACTTAGAAAATTATTATCTCTTAGAAAGAGTTTGATACGTTTTACCAAAATTAGAGAGCTATGCATAGTTAATTGAATTTTGATCACCAGAAACCAGAGTTCGTAATTGTGTATTGATTGAGGATACTGATAAGGCTGGGCTTGTGCATTAATAAATATCAGGCAACCTAAAAATAGGTGGAAGGAAGGACTTCAATGAATTGGAAATTATCTGCTGCTATAATTAAGATCCTTGCACTTTTTAAAATGTTTAGTTCTCTAAAAGCAAGAGGAGTAAACAGATCTCAGTCAAACAATAAGGTCAATTTATTTTTCAAGCTATTTGGAGCAAGGAAAGGGTCTGAAGTTTCTGGAGTTGTGTAAGGCACCCACTGGATGTCTCAAGACTGAAGAAAAGAGAGGCAGGTGGGCAGTATATGTAATCCTCTTCTATATCTTGAGTCTGTTAGTCTATGCAATTATTCTAATGATTTAATCTATTGTTTATATTTGTTTAATTTATTGTGACTTGTGGGATGCTCACATACTTGGGAGAGCCCCCAGCTCATCCCCAGACATGTTTTAAAACAGGCTCCATCTCCTTAACAGGGCCTGTAAACTCTGGGAGATTTATTGTGGGAAATGGGCACGTGAGAATCTCCCACTTCTGCAGGAAAGGGATATTTTAAAGCATGTAAGTGACACCTTCACCCAGCCAGTTAATTGGAATTTCTAAAAGAAGTTATGTTTTTAAAAAAATGTATCGATGGCCTTGAGCAAAAATTGGTGAGTCAAATCATTTCAGCAGATGTCAGTGTGTTTGCTTGGTGTTGGTTGAGGAACAGCCACAGAGCAGCTGTTTGGTCCAAATATGGAACTTCAGAGTCCTTGATTTCCGATGTTAATATGTTTGTGACAGGTGTATTGAGGAAGAAGGCATAGAAATCATAAAAGAAAAGCTATTTCTCTGCTGAACACTGACACCTTTTGGCCTTAAGGCAGGTTTTAAATATGTGCTGGTTGTAGTGTAATTGAAGAGCCCCTTAGATCATTTCCTCCACAAAATATAAAAGCCAACAAGAATCCCTGGATTTAGAGTCAGGGATATGGCAAGAGTAAGAGGTGTCAGAGTAGTTTTAAAATTGAGTCCATATATTAAGCAATATAAAAGTCTGGGGGTAAATATGATCTAGAATTCTCTATCTCAGATTCCTTCGGTTCTGTAGTTCTTACATTAAATGAGATGAAAATCCTGCTCCCAATAATTTTGCAAAAAATCCTCGTTAAGCGGAGTGTGAGAAAACACGTAAAGGTCTTAACTGCGGTTGGGAAGATCTGGAGACTCCTCTGAAGAGTCTAAACAGAAAACAAAGGAAGAAGTCAGTAGATCCCAGATGTAGGTTAGAATCAGCAAATGATGGAGTCAGGAGGAGGGGAAAGCACAAACGGTTAGATGAAAATACTTTCCAGACAGGTCATCCGCATGGGGTGACGATAACTGACTCTCACTATGCTGTGTTTTAGAGCCACTCTTCTTAACTCCAATATCACAAAACTAACTAAGCAATTAACTAACAAAACTTCCCCGTGTTTGAGTCAGGGCAACAGCAAATGTAAGTGTAAGTACCTGCAGTGTCAGTAGAGTCTCAAGATAGGGTTACACTAAGAGAATGATAGCTTGATCTCAGTTGTAGATATAGAACAATCCATGTTGGCTTTTGGTTTTAGTACAGAGAACAAGGAGCCGAGCAAGGGGCTAACAGCGATGCGGCTGAGGAAGCAGTCCATTATGAACGTGTTCACTTAGAGGGAGTGTGAAATTGCCAGGTGAAGATGTTTAACATTTAAAGAGATCATGTCAAAGATGCAATATTGAAAAATGATCAAATTTTAAATGACAAATTGAAGTTATGCGATTTAATCAATTTCCAGGAAGAACACAGAGGTAAGCAGAGAAGAGAGTTCAGTGTGAGCAATGTCTATGTCATAAAGATGAAGAGGGGAGGAGATACCTGTACAGGAGAGGCCAGAAGGGCCAAACCAGTCCCAGGAGTGTGGATATTGTGCAGTAGTGTGTCTAGAACAACATATGTAGAAGGAGTGATTGACAGTGCCAGATGCAATAAAAAGTGCCATTGAAACTTAAAGAAATAACAGCCAAGTTTCAACTGAAACGGCCAAGTGGTGATAACCTATTATGAAAACGAATGAAATTATTCTGTATGAGACTATAGTGGTGGCTACATGTCATTAGCTTTTGTCAAAGCCCATAGAACGTACAACATCAAGAGTGAACCCTAATGTAAACTGCGGACTTTGGTTGATAATAATGTGCCCATGCTGGTTCATCGATTGTACCAAACATGCCACACTGATGAGGGATGTGGAGGGCAGGGGAGTATATATGTGTGGGTGGGGAGGGCTGTGTGCAAACTCTGTATTTTCTGCTCAATTCTGTTGTGAACCTGAAACTGCTCTAAAAGAGCAGTTATATATATATAACTGGGTCACTATGCTGTACACCAGAAACTAACACAACATTGTAAATCAACTTAACTTCTATTTAAAAAAGAACTGTTTTTATAGCAAACATTTAGAAACAAAAAAATATTGTCAAGTGTAGTTTCAGTGGAGTGGTTTGTTCAGAAGCCATACCAAAAGCGGTGGAAGTCCAGATTTAAGAGAAAAATTATTAGAAACTAAGGATGGAAGTCAGATTGGCGAATGTATTTAATACTTACAGAGCTGATGAGAACATCAGTGACTTGATAACAAAGAGTCTGAGTGTTTCAGTCAGACACATCTCTGGTTGAAATATAAAGATTAAGAATAATATTCTTCAGTGTGTACAGAACATTTTTTTCATTTAGTAAATTCGGTATGTGTCAAAGTGCTCTTTGTATTGAGTGCCAAATTGGACACTCAGTGAAAATGACACAAGACATAAGCAAACCGAGAAAGCCGTGGGAAAGATGTAGAAAAGGAGTGTTTAATACAGGAATTGTCCTTTGTAGATTAAGCATAAATTTCATCACGGCAGTAGAACAGAGCCCTCAACTGCTTTGGCAAATGGATACAGAAACCCTTATGGGTTTTCAATTTATCCAGGAAAAAAGCTTTAAGTAGACAATTAAACTGTGTAAAATTTCAGTTAGTAATAAGGGAAAATTCTTAGGAAAACGGATACCCTAAGTTCATGATTTCACTGCTACTAAGGGAACAAGTGTGCTCTGAAAAAATCTATTTGAATGTATAAACTAAAGAATAGCATACATTTAAAAATACATGGAAAACTATGTTTTATTTGGACTATATTATTTAAAGA